TGACAGCTTACAGGTGTTACAGACCACATTTGACATTTGTATTTTGTTATTTTTATTTTCCAAAATCTCTTATAACAAAAAGCAAATAATGACTGATAAAGCAAGAAGTATATATAGTAAGTTCGTTTTTGAACTGACAACAAAATAATTTTTTTCAGAGGATCTTTGTGATTTTTTTACGTTCCCGACACCTGTAGAGGCGAGTCATTATTGGACTCATGAAAACACTTTGTTATTGTTAGATTTATACAGAAAATATAAGAATCAAGTAGGATCGCTAAGAATGAAGAATTTAAAAAAATATTTGTGGAAATCGCGAAAGAATATTTTCAGACCACTAATATTCGCATTTCAGCAAGTAATTTCGAAAATCGCTGGAAAGTGCTAGAAAGGAATTATAAAAGAATTATTGATAATAACCAACACACAGGCAGGGGTCTAAAAGTGTTCGAATATGCCGATATAATGGCTGACATAATGGGCAAGAAAAAAAATATTAACCCCGTATTGCTACTAGATTCTGAGACCATTCATGTACCACAAATTTTAAAGGGATGGCAGAATCCAACAATGAAAATGTGGAAGCGGAAGCTTTGACATCAAAACAAGCAGTACCCAAAAGAGAAACGGTGAGAAACAAGGCACAAAGCAAAAGGCTAAAAGCCGTTGTTTTGCAAGAAATCAGAAACGATCATAGAGCTTTTTACAAAAGACAATTGGAAATAGAAGAAAAAAAAATAGAAGAAAAAAGAAAAAGAAACGCAGTTTTAGAAAAACATAATGTCTTATTGGAGCGATTTTTGCAAGCTAACAGTTACTCCCCTGTTGTTGACATGGCACCCTGATAAGATTTTTTTTTATTAACTGTTTTGTCTTATTTTTGTTATTGTTGCCATTGAGAATGTGATTTCTAAGTTTGTGTTTCCTCATATTTAGTTTATTTAGTTTTTTCTTATTGATCTCATTTTTTTTTTGTATTTATTTTTTATATATGAATAATATATATGAAAATGATGCCTTCATTTCATTTTATCGCTCCAAATTATACATAAACAAATTGTTTATAAAATGCTTCGTTAAGGAAAAAAAGTGTGGTGGTCATTTATAGAATGATTTTCTATTTGTTAATATTCTGATAATAATTTAACACCCTGTATTTCCTTAAGCGTTTTAGACAAAAATGTTATGATCTGCCCTTATTATTTTGATGTTCATTAAATACATGTAACCAATTTTAAACAGATTAAAAAGACATTAAGTAATATCAGATCAATACATACATTGACAAAAAGCAAAGGTAGAGGATATTAAAGAATTGTAAGTTCATCGTACATAAACTTTGCCATTCATTACAAATGAATATAACAAGAAAATCACAGGATACCTTTCTGAAGTTATATTGAAATTCATTACATCACAAATGGCAAGCTATTCATTACTTCTTCTCTCACTCTCTGACCATCACGATCAGGCTGAATATCCTCATTTGAACGAGGCACGAGAGCTCATTGAAGGGCCCAGTGCTAAGGATGGACGCTTCTGCCTATCTCTGGATAGAGCCAACCTAAGGTTGCTGGTGGGACTATTGTCTGGCCATAACACGTTAAGGCGGCACCTGCACGTGATGGGGGTGGCTGAGGATCCCTTGTGCGAACGCTGCGGAGTAGAGGAAGAGACCTCGGCGCACGTTTTGTGTCGCTGTGAAGCTCTGAGCTACTATAGGCAGACTATACTGGGGTCCATTACTCCGGACCCTCAGGACGTAAAGGAGCTTGGACTCAAGGCGATTCTCAACTTCGCTAAAAGGGCGAGGCTTGTGATTTAAGTATTGTAGAGGTGCATAAGGGCCCGCTTAAGCGGCCTATGCACTGGCTCCTTATGGTGGCCGGGATGCCTCTAAAATTCAAGATTCATTCATTCATTCAACCCTTCATTTCATTTTCACAGTATGATGTGTATTCTCTGACTCAGTGAGTCGTTACTATAGGCAACACAATACTCTCGTCAGCTTCGAGGCCGGTCGGTAAGTCTATCGTTCAAATGAACGACTCCAAATTAACGACTCACTGAAGAGAGATGAACGAAATAAGCGAGCTCAGACAAAAGAGTCGTATGTCTCAGGCCTAGGGCACATAACACCTAATTTATAAGGGAATCTGTAATGCTAAGGTTTATCACTAAGTTTGTAGCGCCATCTCAGCAAATAATGACTGATAAAGCAAGAAGTATATATAGTAAGTTCGTTTTTGAACTGACAACAAAATAATTTTTTTCAGAGGATCTTTGTGATTTTTTTTACGTTCCCGACACCTGTAGAGGCGAGTCATTATTGGACTCATGAAAACACTTTGTTATTGTTAGATTTATACAGAAAATATAAGAATCAAGTAGGATCGCTAAGAATGAAGAATTTAAAAAAATATTTGTGGAAATCGCGAAAGAATATTTTCAGACCACTAATATTCGCATTTCAGCAAGTAATTTCGAAAATCGCTGGAAAGTGCTAGAAAGGAATTATAAAAGAATTATTGATAATAACCAACACACAGGCAGGGGTCTAAAAGTGTTCGAATATGCCGATATAATGGCTGACATAATGGGCAAGAAAAAAAATATTAACCCCGTATTGCTACTAGATTCTGAGACCATTCATGTACCACAAATTTTAAAGGGATGGCAGAATCCAACAATGAAAATGTGGAAGCGGAAGCTTTGACATCAAAACAAGCAGTACCCAAAAGAGAAACGGTGAGAAACAAGGCACAAAGCAAAAGGCTAAAAGCCGTTGTTTTGCAAGAAATCAGAAACGATCATAGAGCTTTTTACAAAAGACAATTGGAAATAGAAGAAAAAAAAATAGAAGAAAAAAGAAAAAGAAACGCAGTTTTAGAAAAACATAATGTCTTATTGGAGCGATTTTTGCAAGCTAACAGTTACTCCCCTGTTGTTGACATGGCACCCTGATAAGATTTTTTTTTATTAACTGTTTTGTCTTATTTTTGTTATTGTTGCCATTGAGAATGTGATTTCTAAGTTTGTGTTTCCTCATATTTAGTTTATTTAGTTTTTTCTTATTGATCTCATTTTTTTTTGTATTTATTTTTTATATATGAATAATATATATGAAAATGATGCCTTCATTTCATTTTATCGCTCCAAATTATACATAAACAAATTGTTTATAAAATGCTTCGTTAAGGAAAAAAAGTGTGGTGGTCATTTATAGAATGATTTTCTATTTGTTAATATTCTGATAATAATTTAACACCCTGTATTTCCTTAAGCGTTTTAGACAAAAATGTTATGATCTGCCCTTATTATTTTGATGTTCATTAAATACATGTAACCAATTTTAAACAGATTAAAAAGACATTAAGTAATATCAGATCAATACATACATTGACAAAAAGCAAAGGTAGAGGATATTAAAGAATTGTAAGTTCATCGTACATAAACTTTGCCATTCATTACAAATGAATATAACAAGAAAATCACAGGATACCTTTCTGAAGTTATATTGAAATTCATTACATCACAAATGGCAAGCTATTCATTACTTCTTCTCTCACTCTCTGACCATCACGATCAGGCTGAATATCCTCATTTGAAAATATGTGCTGTCTAGGGACATTTGGATGCTCTGGGGCAGAACTGTAACTAAAAATTCAGAATTTTCTTACCGCGAACGCCGATTTTTGAAGTGCGCATGCGAAGTGGTTCAGAATCAATCCCGAATCGGAATTGCGAACGAAACTAGTATCACCGACACAGAACTAATAAGAACGCCGGCGCCGCACACGATTCAACTTTATATTCAACGTGATTCAACGTATATCAACGTCGAAGCATTGAACTGTCAAAAAAAACGGAAAAACCTAATATCAGCGCCACTCTGTTGTTACATTCCGTACTAAGTATAGGATATAAGAATATCTGGTTGCCTACAAAATGCACCTTCAAAGTCTCTCATTTAACTTTCCCTTATAAAGTAGGTGTTATGTGACACTGACCGGGTCGAGGAGGTGAGCCCACATGCTTCCCCTACTCCTGACAAACCTACCCAACAACAAACATAGCGGGAACGTTCTCCCTCCACTATTGTGCCTTAAGGTCGAAAAGTCTAGTTTATATTTGATTCACCCTCGTATATAATATCTAGCATAGATTTCAACTAATATTAGTATTTCTCATCTAATAGATATTGATTCGGCTGATGGAGAACCCTGTATATGAATAATTTAATTTATGTAAAAAATGTTCCATTTACGTTTTGCTTAGCTAGGGAAAAGGAAGGGTGAAGCGGATGTCCATGGGGCTCGGGAATATCCGAATTTAAAAAAATGTCGAACGTGTTTTTCAATTTGCTCTTCGCTCTTTTTTTGGACGGATAATTTCAAATTCATCATATGAATCTCTAGATCATTGATTCCCAAAGTGATCTATATCGACCTCTAGGGGTCTATGACAACCTGCAAGGGGTCTACGTCAGCGAAAAAAAATTGGGGGTCCATGAAATGAATATGGGGGTCCACGATAGTGGATCTCAACACATACACTGATAGTACCTATTTACTTACATCATACTATCTTATAATATCAAAACATATACATTATTTATAAAAGTACCTAGGAAGTAAAAAATTTATTATATATGTTTATAAAATTGTGTAAGTTGTAGGATGTTGGTATTCGCTTTGTGGTCGCAATACATTTTGAACTTGTAAAAACCTGAGAGTCGCAGTCTCAGAGCTTCGCTAACTTGCACTGACTTGTTCAATTCGTCACTCTATAAATACGAATGTGGGACAAATACGTTTATTCGTTTCCTGAATCTTGAAAACGAAAGTGCTAAGAAAATATTTTTAAAAATATAAACAGACAGTATATCACACAAATTAGAGTGAGTTAGTGTTATTTTGTTTGAGAGTGCTGGAGAAAAGTAAGTACATTATTTTTTATTAAATTTTAGTTTTGTACACGTAGCAAAGATAGATAAATTACGCCAATCATGACTTTAGTTATTAGTAGTTAAATATTCAATCATCAAAATTACACGTTTCTTTTTGAAAGTTTTAGCAATCGGTAATATAATTACAGTGCAATCTCCGTAATTCGAGCTAATTGTTGCAAGAAGATGTTCGAATTATGGAATGTTTTCGGAAAAATTCAAAAAATATTTTTAATATACAGCTGCTGCATTTTCTGTCTTATTTAAATAATTTAATTTTGCCCACAGATGACTGATGCCATGTCCGAATCTAAAAAGAAATGTAGACAGTACAGTGTTGATTATTTGAAATTTGGCTTCAGTCCATCATTGCCGGACAAACAATCGCCTATGTGCCTTTTATGAAACAAAGTTTTGGGCAATGACGCTATGAAACCATCTAAACTGCAAGATCATCTGAGAAGATGCCACCCTGATAAAACAGAGAAAGATTTGAAATACTTTCAAACACTCAAAGATAAATTTCAGAAGAGACCTACACTGGACAGAATGTTCGCTTCGACGTCACAAAGAAATGATGATGGTTTGCGGGCGTCTTACAATATCTCGTTACTTATAGCAAAATCCGGAGAACCGCATACTATCGGAGAGAAGTTAATTTTGCCAGCCGTTGAAGAGGTTTTAAAAACTGTTTTACACAAACCTGCATCTGATATCATTAAAAGAATTCCCTTAAGCAACAATACTGTTGAAAGACGTATTGATGAAATGCGTTCTGATATTGAAATTTGATTAAAACAAAGTCCATCTTATCAGCGTTTCTTGCCAGAGTTAAACTAATGAAGCTAAATATTGGAATTTTCTCAGTTCCCCAATTTGTCACAGTCAAGCTGCCAGGAAGACGACGTTTCAACTTACGTTCAACATTTAAATACCCTCTATTCAGATTTTGAATCTAGGTTTGAGGATATTTTGACTATGGTAATACCACCGTAGATAATTAATCCATATGGTGACATAGAAGAAACGAATGTCATAATACAAGAGGAACTGACTGAACTAAGTACAAATGAAGAACTGAAGGTTCAGTTTAAAAACGGATATCAGCAATTCTGGCTGCAAAACAACATACCCGTTACTTATCCCGTATTATGGAATATAGCGAGGACATTTTTAATTTCCTTTCCATCGTCATACCTAATGGAAAGGGGGTGCAGCGCTGTTACCAATCTCCTAACGAAAAAAAAGAAACAGACTGGACATCATTAGCCGAGGAGATTTCAGATTAACCCTTACAAAATAGACGCCAAATGTTGATAATTTATTATTAAAGCATCAGGTTCATCCTTCTCACTAAAAATATTGACTTATTGCTTATGTTATTTTATTTATAGTTTATTTTATGTTTATTGGTGTCTGACCAATAAATACCCGCATTGGGAATAAGTGCCCGCATTGATTTTTTTAAAGAACCCCCCTTTATAGAAAGTATTTTTTTTAAATTATTCTGAAAAATCAAAGATAGGTACACACTAAAATTCGTTAATTTTTTGCCTATTTTTAGATAACTTAAACGTATAAGAAGCGGAATTTAATTAAACTGACAGTGAAATTATTGTAGAATATACGTTTATGTTATAATTAATAAACGAACTCGCTTATTGTACTATTTTAAGTAAAAAACTTTTTTTTTATTATTTTTCACTTTTTTTTATTTCATCCCTCTTATTTTTTTTTTCAATGCGGGCACTTATTCCCAATGCGGGCACTTATTGGTCAGACACCTGTTTATAGTGTAGTATAGTATAGTAGTTTTAATTTCAATTCAATTAATAAATGTATAAATTAACATGTGTTTTTACTTTAAGTTTTTAACACTAAACTTCAGTACATTTAGAAATTTACAGGAAATCAATATCAGGTAAGTAGGGGGTCTACCCAACAGGGAAAAACATGGCAAGGGGTCTACGACACAAAAAAGTTTGGGGAACTCTGCTCTAGATCCTCCCCTGATTGTTTGCAAAACTAGATTCTCAGGGGTTCCCATGCCAGTTGGCGTTGGAAGATCGCCATTATAAATGAACTTCAATCATTTAATCATATTAAACAAATAATAATACAACGTTCATATAAGCCGAACCTTATACATTTATTGTTACAAAAAATAAACCACCTTCCAGAGCACTGGTCCTAATAATAGCCATCGCGTCACGTCCCTATATTTACCTACATCCCCATAATACGTGCATCGTAATTTTCCAGTTAAGCGCCCCCTAAGATGAAAGTAGTCCCACTCCAGGCCAAGTCGCGGTATCCGTTCCGTTCCCCTATTTTCCCTCCTTCTTCTAGCAGCAGGGAAGCAAGTCCTCTAAAGCCGCTGACTCCGCCGAGGTGTGCTCAAGGACCACCGAGGAAACATCCGACTCGGCGGAAACTGCTGCCCCTGGCCCCCCTATAAGGCTCCCGTAGCCCGGTCACCGCACAGAAAAAGACTTTTATCATCTCTCGCCTGCTTCTTAATCGCCGACGATCCAATGTAAGGGCTTCAGCACAGAGATGTACTTGTCACATAAGTTATTGATGCGACTATGCAAGGTCTTTTATATTAGATAGTAGATAGTAGATGCTCTTACTTGGTGAAATTCTTACATCATATGGCCGAATAGTTCAACTCATTGTAAGTATAAAGCTTCACAGTTAAACAAAGGAGTAATCGAAGGTAAACCGTTTCACTTTATTTCAAAATTAACGTCAGACTGGCATTGATATTGAGCTAAATATGTCCTAGTTAGTATGAAAACGAAACTAATAGTATATAAATACCCATATTTCATCTTTTGGGTGCCCACACAGATTTGTCTAGTCTTTTAAGGCCGATCTTAATGGCCATGCCTAGGTATTATTTTCTAATGCACTTTTTCCGTTATTTCCTTTTCTCTTTGTTGAGGGAAATATATGTTTTTCTGGAACCTGCATTCGCACTGGTGAGGAAAACAAAACGCCAAGTTTTATGTTGCTGAAGTTTTGTCCAAAATCCTTAAGGTCACCTCCTTGATGGACACACAATTTCTTTCTATAATATCAAGGGTATATTTTGATAGAAATAGGATTGATATAAAATTGCCAGAACGTTGATGAGATCGCATAACACCTTCTAAGCTTCTAGAAACGAATCATTTCCGAAACTATGTTCTTAACATTTTTTCTAAATCTGGCAACATTTTATGTCACACTGTATATCGAGATAATCTACTTGAATACAAACCGTACTGTTACGTGATTTCGATTACTATTTAATTGTTGGAAGCGGTGGAAGTGCTTTGTCGCAAACTGAGTTTTTAAGAAAAGCAAGGTTTTCTAATCTACTACGAGTATACAAATGTAATATTTTCAAGCAATTTCAGAGCAGTTCTATTATTGGTTAACAAGTTCCGACTGAATAAGGAATGTCTAGAAAGGGCACAAAAAATGGTGTCAAGCTCATAAAGTACTATATTCGGCCCCCGGTGAGAGAAAAGCTAGCTATGAACATCTAAAACAGAGAAATTAAACGGATCAGGTCAGTCAAACAGGCCAATACAATTAGTCCATAGACATCTGTTCGTTGCCCTACCGTTAGTACCATCCATCTGGCAACGTCGCCTCTCCCCCATACCGTACCGCTAGTTAATTCACTCGTCAGACTCGGCAGCGTGGCAGTGACGGAACTATACTCATGAGAAATGCCGGTCAACCCAAGGACAGACGCGTATCGGAGATATTTCTTCTATTCTTTCTGAGCTCGAATGGGAAATGTACAGGGAAATTTATGATGTGTGAAATATGTCTACAGGTACCGACAGGGTTATTACGTAAAAAACCTATATAATGTGAAAAACGAAACTATAAAATGTCAGCTTGTTAACTTGGGGCCGTATGATCAGTCGTTCCTACGTTGTCGAAAATGGTGACGCTGACACGGAACAGTAGAAATCTAGAAATAGCCCAGCCTTCCTGAAGGAGAGAAAATGCTATGAAAATCAAGGAGGTCATAATATTGTAGGTACGAGTGACGACAACGCCCGTAGTAGGCTAGTGTGCAAATAGTTCATTCCGCGCTAGCTACAAGTGAGCATAATGTGAATGACAGCTAGTTCCAAGTTGACGTCTGATAGGAAAACCTACAATTAAAAAACCTACGTGATTAAAAAAAACCGACCATGTAAAAAAAGCGGACGAAATATCACTTTTTAAGTTACGTAATACTGCTACTCCAAATATTTGAGATCTACCCTCCCCCGCACTCCCAATAATATCTAACTCCCCCAAGATTTTTTTAAAGCACCCAGGAGCCGTTGAAAGGTCAAAAAACGAAGATTGCTTTTTTGTTTCTTGCCCTCAATCTCGCCGCTACTGGACCGATTTCCAAAAACTACAAAGCTTATCCGCTTGTGGCATAGTATTAACTTTGTGTGGAATTTTCATCAAAATCCTCGCAATACTCTCCAAGCTATAGGCGGGCCAAGTATAAGCGGACAGGGAGACAGTTCGATGTAAATGAGTGACATGTTTTTGACATTTTTCGCAATTACATTGCTTCCTCACTAGGAGCGAAGAAAGGAAAAAGGATTTTGAGACAAAAAATCAATAATATATCGTTTGACAGACATATCTCTATACACATCAACGAATGCGAATAGATTAGGAGCCAAGCCTATTGTCACATTGCATTGTTTGTCGCCAATATTGCGTACTTTTGACAAATGCTTACCAAATTGACAGCGTTGTATCAACATAATAGAAATAATATTACTTACAGGTGGAAACATATACCTTCATTAGGGTCGTGCCGCTCTTTGCAAATTATGTAAAAAGTGCAATGTCTTGACATCTTCTAACACAAAAATCATCTGCAAAGTGTCGCACTTTTGAAAAATAACACTAAATATACGAATTTAATGACAGAAGTGTCAATAAATTGAGTTATGTCAAGTGCACTTTGATCCTGACTGCAGACTAGGAGACAAACAAATCCTTGACTGGCTCCTTCTACTCGTACCTAGTCTGAATTCGTTGATACATACCTTGAAACAATCAGACGAAAGGTAAAATTACTCCTTTATACAGACTGTTGAAAAAAGGGATGTGCGATGTTGAACTTGATTGAGGCCGCTAGAACCGTATCACTTTCAGAACTTCATCTGTATGAGATACAACCCTGTCTAGGCAAGAGTATAAATATACCCTAATAATCTCCTTCATTAGTCAGTCCTTATAACTTTTTCGTTTTATAGAGACATAAGAGACATCGATCTGCCTCAAACCCGTATAGGGCACGTACCACTCAACACGGTCTTAACTTTCTTCTGTTACTAACCTATTGTAAGTACCGTTCTTATTTTGGAGTAATACTTCTTCTAGTGCTTCAAAGTGTAACGAATGCCCCAACAAATCCATTTGTGTTTGCTCATTATCGCGGTGGCCATGAAAGAGTGTTGCGGAGAGATTTCGTAAGTACAAATCACCATCATCAGGCACTGGCATGGCTTGTTTATCACCATTACAGACTTGTAGGATTTTGAATTGTTGTCGGCTAGACTTAGAAATAAAAAAACGCCTTGGTGGCTATGGCAAATATAAATATGATTGACATATCGACACATGCATTTAATAACATTGTAAGTGACATTTTGAGGATTCTCACTTCTTGAGTGATTGGGATAGATTATATTTGAAAAACCTAAAAAATGTGATATAAATATCATTGTAACTACATAAATCCTAAAAATATCGGTTATATTATGGTAAAGATCATTACTGTTTTATTGTATCTTCTTCTCTGAGTCTATCGTGTCTCATCGATCACAGTAAAACATAGGTTTCTTTGTGCTTACAGTAAGCTTTTCCCGTTAACAAAAACGAAATATAATCACTTTATGTTATATTTATATACACATCCTTGAGAGATCTCATATTTTTGTTATTTTATTGTATTTATTTATTTTATTTTTATCCAAAGATAAATTTAGGTTTCTGCAATAAGCAACTGAGATTACTTCTTGCTTCATTTTTATACATAACAGTAATTGTATCAGCTCTTACAATGTAGAAGAGCTGCTCACGTAGGATGAACATTGTGCCGTATCTTACCATGACTATACAGTAAAAAGCAAATTTTGCTCACATTCTAATTACCTATTGTTTTTCATTTTCTATGCTTTTTCTTCACATATGTGAAATATTGTATTATTTAATGGGTAAGATTTCTAGTACCATATATACTATATGCCACTACATATACTAAATTAAATCTTGGAAAGTTCAACTAGAGTTGCTGGAAAATTGAAATTACTCGACTGAAAAGACTACATTTGTCACTAGCAATGTTATTAGGTGGATTTATCGATATGTTGAACCACCGGCTTGGTTCAGCGTGGTGTATCTTTTTAGGTAAGCAAATTCTTAAATGTCTTCATAGTTTTAAAAATCGAAAATTTAATAAAATCGTTAGTTCAACAGTAGCTATTGATTTGTTATTGCATGTGAATGTTTTTGAATGATACATCATTCAGTATTCAATAAGCACGGTCACACCGAGTGTTTTGTTAAAATTGGAATCCTGAAAAGTCTTGAATATAAAAACAAAAAACTCAATATTGGCATTTACACGTTTACCTAACAAGAAAAACACTGCACTCTTTCTGGAAATATGCCACTTGGAAGATATGTTTTTAATTTTACTTCCAGAGCCAGTAGTCAAGAAAACTCGTGATTGAACGCATAAAATCTGTTTTTTTTTGTCGTTTCTCCGGCAGTATTATAAATCGAACAAGTATCATTCGAATGTTGGCGGTAGTACTTAGTTTAGTACCTACCCCAGCAAGGACAAAAAAACATAATTAATTTTTGAGCATTGTTCTGGTGTGATAGTTCAATATTACTCTGCGCAATCCACCACTATTTCGCAAAACAGAATCAAGTTAATTCTGCTCCTCCCAAGCATAATTTTTGTAAAAGACCTGTTATAAAGTTAAACTGGCTTGATAACTAATATGTATAACTAAAAAATAATTCAAATCAAGTCAGTCCATCAGGTTCATACAGTTAGTCCATAGACCCACCGATTCGACACGTTGCAATCTCGAATTTTCTCCCCTATCCTTCAGACAGTATCGACCATCTGGCAACGCTGCTAACAGCAACCTCGCCACTCGTCAGGCACCCATCTCCATCAGACAAGATACCATTCAGACATTGAAGCAGGTGTATCAGCGTTAGATGCGTAGTGAAATATATAATAATAATAATAATAATAAATAATAATAGTAATAATAATAATAATAAAGGCAATCTCAGGTACCTTAAACCCATACCAACTGCAAAGTGTGGCCATATTCGGTACAGCCCACATTATTAGAAAGGTCATAACGTAACGTCTAACCTAAGAGGTCAGGTATACCCCCGGTTTGGCGAAGAAAGTAAGCTAGCCACCATCAAACAAGAGCTGAAAAATTTAAAGAATAATAATAATGGATCTTTATTAAGGAATACATTATATATATAATAAATTGACTTAACTTACAGTGGTATGTGAGGATGTTGCTAATTGTTGTTAACGTTCAGGATGAAGGAAACACCCACTAACATGGTGAAAGCTGGATAGATGGTACAATGGTCAAAATTATATAAAATACACACAAATGTGTGACAAGAACAAGTTAAAAACAGATTAAACATTTTTAGAACATTAAATTCATTTTACACTATTGTTGCTACTGTTATCAATGAAATTGCAGCTCCTGATGATGATGGCAAAGTCCATTGAAAGCTAGAGAGAATAAAAAAAGTATAAAGAGTCCTCTTTGCTTAAATTTTGTCGAAGTACCCAACAAAAGGCGGAAGCTTTTATTTTTCACCTAACTGGTCTAGACGACAATGACCACGTCTCAAGTTATATATATATATATATATATATATATAATATATATATATATATATATATATATATATATATATAAGTGATTCACATAATTTTTTCCGTGTTTTAAAATGCATAATATGCTTATTGCAGTAAAATTGTTTCAAAACAAAGTAGCATTTTTTAGTGTAACGGATACATGTGCATTGAAGCGCAGGGAGCTATCAAACGTTAAGCCTAAATGTTTAGCTGAATTCACTAATGGCATTGAAACTCCACCAATTCTTGTATTAAGTCCGCCAACAAGTTATCACGACTATTGTTGGAACAAAACACAGAACTAGTAACAGAAGACTCAGAAGAATTTAATTTCAAGTTGTTGTTAGAGAAATTTAGTATTACATTGAGATCACTATTAATATCTTTAATTGCTTGAGAGACATTGGATGGAGTGAAAGCTTTCAGCAATTGTGTATCATCAGCATAAGCTACAATGGACAAATGGGAAACAAGAACGGAACCCTGCAGCACGCCGGAAGTAGTAAAAGATGGCACCGAAAATGTGTAATCTACAGATACTATTTGCTCCTGAAATATATGTTTGGAAAAACTGTAAAGACAAACCGATAAAACCATAATATGATGAGTATCGAGGCATTTTCATTATCATATTGCTTAATAATATGCCTGACAGGGTCGTAGAATTACCGGAGTCGAACGCATACACATATACTGCCGCCAAAAATTAAGAGATACTCTCTCCGGTCCCTCTAAAACCCCCTATTTATAGCACCTACAATTTTTTTCTGAAAATGATAAGGAGCCTGTGAAACATAAAAAAGTATTGAGGATTTTTATTTTGTTTCTGCCCCTGCTGGGTGGATTTTCAAAAACTACAAGGATTTTCGTCCTTGTGTGAAAGTTTCAAACCGACACACAGACCGATAGACAGACAGACCGACGGTAATAAGAGCGGTTTTTTGTGATGTACATCTAATAGAGCAGCTAAAAAACAAAATGTCCCATTTTCGAAATTTTCGTCAGGGGCGTAGGAAGTAAAATAGTATTTAGAACTGGGAAAAGTTCTTCTTTGATTACGCTTAGTTACAGATTAGTGCATTTTTAGACGCATGTGATAGAGTATGCTCTTTTCCAAATTCTTTTTTGTTTCTGTGTCGTACCAATCTCTGTGTACTTGGTGTATGACAAACATTCCAACTGAACTGAATACTATCCCCACTTTTATTTTCCAGCCTGTGCCCGTTAGATTTTTATCATGAGCAATTTTCTGAGAAAAAAGAGGAACAGATAGTTAGTGAAGAGCTAGCGTATGTTACCAAATCGTATACGCGTTTCCAATATGCACCACTAAATGAATGTGGCATTTTAGCACCGGATTGAACATCGGCGACATTATGCCCGAAAACGCAAAGACCTACGACAAAATGAGACCGCCAAAAAAAGACGGCAATCCTACTATAGTCTACTTTCACGTCACAGTCATGGGTTTGGACAGTATCGATGAAAACTCCATGGTACGTACACTCTAGATGCAAATCTTCATTATCTATGGTACAACTATACAATAAATTACAAGTCAGCTATAAAGCTATACAAATGTGAAATATTTTCAATCTAAGTTAAGGGAATTTCTGATTTAAAAGACATTAGTGAATAACTGCAATATTTGGTCCTAGAGTAAAAGTCACAGTAGATGCGTGACCAATGTACAGGGGGGCATTAAGTTGAGCGGATTTAAAAAAAACTACAAAGTGTAGAGAAGATAATTTATATCTTCAATCAAGTAGACACTCCTCGAATCTTGACTTCAAATTCTTGAAAACTCGCTGGTACATTGCTCGTGGGATAGCGGACATCTCCTCGGAAATGTTGTGCTTGAGCTAGGCAAATGTCGTCGGTTTATTAACGTAAACGCGGCTACTGAGAAAAAATCTAGTGGTTTGAGATCTGGGCTCCGGGGAGGTCACGAAATGTCCTCTCGTCGTCATATCATTTTTCCAATAAAAAACTGCTAAAGACTCGTTGGCGGTATGGAATGTCACGCCACCTGGTTGAAACCAGGTTCTGCTATGGTAGGCTTCAAAATTATGCAATTGTGGGAAGAAAAAGTTACGTAGTATTGCTGTTACTGTTACCGTCTGGCCTTGCTCGTTTTCGAAGAAATAAGGTCCGATGATTCCTTCAGCCGACATGGCCGCCCAAACTGTAACAACGCGAATGCAAAGGTCGTTGATGTTTTAATTTGGGATTTTCTGCGGCCCAATACCGGTAATTTTGCTTGATGACAAATCCATTCAAATGAAAATGAGCTTCATCAGAAAAGAGAATATTGTTCAAACTTGAAAAGCGCTCTAACATTGTTTCTGCAAACATGGTGGTCCTGTGATTTCAATTCCTGCACTAATTGAAGTTTATAAGGGGGCAATTTAAGGTATTTTACCAAAATACGCCTTACAGATGTTCTTGATATGGCGAGCTCAGCTTATCTCTTTCGGGATCACGCCGTACGGACGTCGCAACTTCGCTTACAGTTGCCGCTGTTCGTATCTTGGACGCCCCGCAGGTTTCTGATTCAGTGTCGAACCGGTAGAATCGAACTTTCTGACCCACGAACTGATCACATTTTCACTAGGACATTGATTTAGATCGTGCAAAATAAACTCAGAGCGTAACACAAGCCGCGCAATAGTGCACGAATCTCCATTTTTGTAATAAACCTTAACATACGCTCCCGCGTGCTTGTCCCGAGCAATGCGGTTTTGAAATTCTTACGCCTTTCTGGTTCACCCTGTATATAATTTTATCTTTAATAATTTATATATTGGTATGTATTAATGTCAGAAATTTTAGTAGGCGTGTGTTCACACTTTAGATAGTAGATTTATAAACTCTGACGATTGCTATACACGCGCTGTCAACGCCACCTATGGAGGAGTGGAACAACGACATATGGTACAAAATTTACAGCTTAAACCATAGAAGTTATACTAAGTGACATATAAATCCGAACACCCAGTTTAAATGGTTTTATTTTAATAAAAGTTGGTGAATGTATTTATCTTACTGTAAGTAACAAGTGAACAAATTTTCAGCCTTATCAGTTGGACATTCTGGTTTTTATACTGCTTTTTTTTAATTCACTAACGCTCTAAAAATGAATATTTCAGCCGCAGTAAAGAATCAACGTTGTCGGATTTTGGTTCTTGACATCCTTTACGATCGGTTACGATGCCTAGAGTACGGAGACCTATACGATTTCGTCAACTTAGTGAGTTTGATAGGGGTTGTGTAGTGGGACTTCGGGAAGCTGGACTTTCTTTTCGGGCAATTGCAGTTAGAGTGCAAAGAAGTGTAGACACTGTGGTTAGGTGTCGTCAGGCATGGCTTCGAGAAGGCCGTACGCAAAGAGCAAGGGGCACTGGACGCCGCCGTAGAACAACAGACCGTGAAGATCGCCGCCTAAGATTATTGGCCTTAAGGGACCGTTTCTCCACTACCAGGTCCATCGCAAATGACTGGTTTGCAGAACACGGAAGTCCTATTGGCATGCGAAGTGTTTACCGACGAATGAGAAGTTTTGGCTTGTTTTCATACCGGCCACACTGGGTCCTCCCTTTAACTCGAGAACACCGACGTAATCGCCTTGAGTGGTGCAGTCAACGGTCACTTTGGGATCAGGAATGGAACAGTATTGTCTTTAGTGACGAGTCTCGATTTTGTTTAGGCATGCACGATGGTCGGGCCAGGGTTAAAAGGCGACGTGGTGAAAGGAGGAATCCACAGTTTTTTGTTGAAAGACATGTTCATCTCACTGTTGGAGTTATAGTTTGGGATGCTAAAGCTTATGGTTCCAGGCCACCTTTAATCTTCATCAGAGGTAACATGAACGCGCAGCGTTATATCCACGAAGTTCTAGAACCCCATCTTTTAGCCTATCTCGACACCCTGGCAGATCCAACTTTCCAACAAGATAATGCCCGACCACATGTTGCAAGAGTCACAATAGACTTCTTTCAACATAATGATGTCACATTGTTACCATGGCCACCAAGATCTCCCGACTTATCCCCAATTGAGCACGTGTGGGATATGATGGGTAGGAGATTGCTCAATTTGCAATGTCCTCCTGAGACTCTAGAAGCACTTAGAGAGGAGTTGGTGGTTGCTTGGAATGAGATACCACAGGAGGACATTGACCACCTGATCAGAAGCATGCCTAGGCGCGTTGGAGAATGCGTAGCACATCAGGGTGCATCCACACATTATTAAAGGTCAAGGGGCTTTAAAGCAGTGCAATCATTTTGAAATTTTTATCATTTACTTATTATGCTTCATTAAGTACTTATACAAAATTTTATTAAAATAAAACCATTTAAACTGGGTGTTCGGATTTATATGTCACTTAGTATATAAATGGTATTTGCTAGTGTCACCTTTGACGCAGATGTTACATAAATCAAATTCATTCGTATAACCAAATGAAAAGGGTGTTTACCATTTTGGATTGGCATTTACCGATCCGTTCAAGCGAGTGTGGTTATCAGTTTGGTTATAAGACCCGTGATGTCATGAATCAGCTGTTATATGTCATAGCTATCACCGCAAAATTGTGGTATTTACCCAACTCAGCTGAAGCATAATGTACAGCACCCTATTATACTCATTACTGTTGATGGGGACACTTCAAATCTTGTTCCTATGCTTAACAAAGTATCCTGTGTAGCCATATACTACAAGAATATTAAAATATGGCCATATAAACTCACTGGATAATGTCCACCTATATACGGTTTTGCTAATATCTTTTTTCATCGCGTTTTCCTATCATTTCTGCTAAATCAGTAAATGTTTTCTTTGACATACGGAACAGTTTAGAAAATTGAAAGTCATCATAGCTACAATACCATGGTTTCATCATTAAAAATTATTTTCTAATTAATATATATAAAGGTTTCTTCTTTAAACTTTCCATACACTGTTGTGGACGAAAAAGCACCGGTTATTTATCAAGCGATAATAAAATTAATCAGAAATTATATACGCGCTTTTCTAAAATAAACTTGCAACGAAACCAACGCGTTCAAGCAATTCGAGTAACTGAAGTCATTAACCCGTGTGTCATCTTAAACCATATTATAACCGCGATACATAACACAGAAATTTTAGTTATTCGCTTGGATTTGATTATAATGTCTTAGGCATAATCAAACATTATCTGTCTTGTCTTATTCCTTCGTGTCTTGAAGTAAAGTCATGGTCAGCTGTTTTGCTTGTTGCATTTATTTTTGTGTGCCAATGGACTTTTCTAAATAAGAGCGTTGTTAAGAATATGAGTCCGCACGGGTGTTACGTGACGTAATATCGATTTTTTTGACATTATACTGTTTTTTTGACATTATGTAGATTCTTCTACAAGATGTTAACTTAGCACTTAGTTGTACGTGTTGCCTAAACGTCATCAGGCTTCAGTTATCAATGTTTGGCTCTGATGTGATGTAAAATCTGCTTCAGAGATGGCTTTACTGGAGGTCTAAGCTGTAAGTTGTATGTGTTGATGATAATTTCATTGGATTCTTGTCTCAAATATACTTACTTAAGATTCAAATCTAGAAACTATTTGCGCATCGATTTTTTCTTATCCATTCTGGAAATGACATGCAAATTTGCTGAATTTAAAAAATGAGCGAGTTAAGAAATAATTATATTCGCTGTACACTGTCGAATTACAAGCCATATACATGCTAACAGTAATTACACACAAGGCGGTGCCCCAACTAGCAAAGCAGTGCTATAAGCTTTTGGTAAAAGAACTGTTGAGCCGTAAAAGCTCTGCATTGTAGTTGCCTGAACACCAAAATGCTGGCTTAATGTTGTGTGGAATACAAATTTGCTTTCTGCAGCATATTTGCTCTACAATGAGAAGTTTAAAATATTCTTATAGCATAGTTATACAACACCTTATGGGACAAATTTTGAACGGTTGCGTAAACGTTTATACAACTATTTTATACGGCATATTTGCGCGGTAGTGAAAATAGTTGTGTTGTGGCATCCATGGTAACGTTTATACAAAACCCGAGCCTTGTTGTTTTGGTGTGCACATTTACTACTTTAGCCAACAAATTTCTCCCAACGGAAGCACTTATAATTACAACTGTCGTTTAGTAACTGTTAAAGGCTGTACATCCGCAACAATATTACAACTTTTATATTACAAAATTACTGTGCTCGGCAGACATTTATTGCTAAATATGCTGGAATACAACTTCACCATAACCTAACTTTCTGCTGTCATCTTTTTAGTTAAAATGCCATAACCAATATTTTAAAACATGCATATTGGTTTAAAAGGTTTTATCAACTGTTCAAACAGAAGATATAAGGTATATTCTTAAATTCACCGGTTGAGCTACCGGTGCAACCGGTTAGCCAAGTTTGCGTCCTTTAATTTCCGCTGGAACGACCGGTTGTACATCAAACTTGTCTCTATATTGATGGTGGATATGCCACCGGT